ATCTCTTCACTGGTTACCTGTAAAATACAGAATACAATACAAGGTGTTAATGTTTGTTTATACAGCATTGCACGATCAGGCTCCTGAGTATATAAAGGACATGTTAATCTCTTACCAGTCTCAACGTCATCTGCGCTCTTCTCAGAATATGGTCCTAACCGTCCCACGGTCTCGGTTGAGGCGTAGTGGAGACCACGCTTTTTCTGTTGCGGCTCCTACTCTCTGGAATGTGTTACCATTTTCTATAAAATCCTCGGCTAGCATGGACATAAAAAAAGTCCTTAAAAAGGACTTGAAGACCTCTCGGTTGAGGCGTAGTGGAGACCACGCTTTTTCTGTTGCGGCTCCTGCACTCTGGAATGTCTATAATTATCTATAAAAACCTCATCACGCATGGAGATTTTTAAAAAGGACTTGAAGATCTACTTATTTTATCAAGCTTTTGGCGCTTGATTAGGTCGGAGAATTGTGAGGGATAGGCTGCATGTTTTTCTTGATGTTGTTATTTTATGTGTGCATGAATTTTAGTATTATTTAAGCACTTTGGTCCATTTGAATGGTTTTGAAAGTGCTTTATAAATAAAAGTTGAGGAAGCAGTTGTCTTTACTCTATAAATGCCCTGTCGGTGTCTCTCGAACAGTCTTGGATCGCACGTCGCCCCTTTGAAGCGATGTAGCAATTACGTTGTCTCCCTTTGCCCGAGGAGCCCAAATTAAAACGAATGAACCATCAAAGTTCTCTGCCAAACCATGGGACAGCGCGAGAGACGCATGGTGCTGTAGGTATAGGCTTTGTTTGGTAAGTCTAAATGACGTTGTTGTTGTTGTTATTATTGATGCAACCTTGTCTTCAAGCTCCCACTGTGGAGAACAAAAAGAAAAAAAGTGCCAGCAGATATTCCGACCGCGGAGAGCTGTTATCTGACAAACTATACCACAATAACCGATCAATAGTGCTGGATCTGTTTTTCTTTCATCTAAAATGGCACAGAGCAAGTTTACTTTCTTTTGGGATTGTATGTCGAAGTAATCAAAGTATGAAAACTGTATAATGAGTGTATTGATAGCCAAACAAGCGAAGTACAATTCAGACGTCCACAGTTTTAAAATAACTACATCATACTGCACATCAAATTTTCAAACCTCTCAATTTTCATGTACTGAAATTGTGCAGTCTATTAATAATATGGTGTTTGAGTTTTAGATCTAATGTTGTTAAGTCAACATGAAAATGCATTCGCAACTGATTTGACTTCTGTAATGTGGTGTATTGTACAGAGTGCTGCAGGGATTATGTGGTTTTGTAGGCCAAAACCCAGAAACAAGTTAGCATTTTAGCACTTACAGTTTCATCATAATGAAGTCAAATGGGTTTTTTGGGTTAAATGTCTGAAATAAGGTCTGTCGTTAATACAAGCTTAAAATATTTTCACGTTTTATTCATAGTTGCTAACAAGTGGCTAATTGGGACTATAGAGGTTTTCAGGGACATTAAACATCAACACACTAAACAGGAAAATTCATCAACTCACAAGTCATTATTTACAGCCTTGTTGAGTTTATAATCACACTCTTGCAAACTATTTAACTTAGCTTAATGATGGTGACATTGAAGTCGTGCGACTGTAGAGTAGTGTGTCAAGATTATCATGAGAAATAAAACATGTAAGAATCATCAACGTTTGTCACAGACCTTGTTTTCTGCAAGAATCCAAAAGCCAATGGAATAATGCTACTGGGTTTTTATCGAGAGAACCAGGGTGATGCTAACTTCTGAGTTGGCCTACAAAAATACATCATCAGTAGAGGATGTTTGACAATAAATGGACTTGATTTTACCCCAGAGGTAACACTTTTTGAATCGAATCTCTATTTAAAAAATTACATAAAATTACATTAACCAACATTAATTTACTCCGCTAAGTATTACCTGTAGCTAAAACAGTAGAGCATAATGCTAGGCGTGCCAAAGTCATGTGTGCATTTAAAATAATTAATCAATCAAAATTAAATTGAAAGCTCTGTGTTTGTAAAATCTGACAAAAGATTCTTCTTTAGAACAACATGCATTGATGAATTGTGCAATATATGACTAGGAACGTGTGTTCAGAGAGTAAATAGGGTCCATGTTGACTTTAAAGGCCATCCTTAAAGACACACCGTCTGCATGACATAATCAACCTTCTGGAAAACTTCTCCAAATTTGGTGTTTTGGTTGCTTAAAGCAATTAGTGAGTTTGACAAAGCCAGCTGAGCCGTTGATTATAGATATTTATAATAATGACAGAAACCTGGAGAGGAGACGGCATTCTCCTCTGCCACCACGGAGAGGTCAGGACAGCTTTCTTTCTCAAATTAATGGAGGAATTTAAGATTCACATGGAGCACTGTGATGCTGGAGTCACGAAAAAATCTAGAAAAGCTAGTTTTCAAGAGGAACAGCTTGAAGTTTAGAAAGCACTGATACATCAAGCTTCCTCCATCCAAACTCTGGACATCAAACAGGCTTTGTTTGAGGTGACAGATGTGAAGCAATGTGAGAGACAATATAGAATGATTGAGTTTGTTGGTTATAGAAAATAGTGCTGCAACTAACAACTATTAGTCAATTTTTATTGATAGCAATTTACTAAAAGCATGTTATTCCACATCATGTATGTACACTATATATAATGTGTGTGGGGAAAAAAGTTTAAAATGTGAGCATCACAATATAAGAACACAATTTAATGAATGTTATGAGATTTCCTTTTAGTAAATCAGCAATATACAGTGCAGCCAGTGTAACCTGATCCACAAACAAATGACTCTTATGAGGTGATTCTTTTTAATGAATCATTAACATTAACAGCACGATCAGTGTAGTCTTGATTCACAAACTAATGACTCTTACAAACTGATTCTTTTAAATGAATGACATACAGTATGATGAGTGTAGACTGAGTCACAAACTAATGCCTCTTATGAGTTCTTTTTAGTAAATCAGCAACATATAGCACGACCAGTGTAGTCTGATTAACAAATAATCTAGTAGGTTCTAATGAAAAGTTCAGAAGATTTGAAACAGTTGATGAAGTCTTCACTGGAGTGAACTGAACAGATCAGAATCCATTTTTGTGACACTCACCCACCCACCACCAAGGTGTGTGTGTATAACATACAGCTGTTCCTGAAAAGTCATTATAGATAGCCTGTCAACTTTTTTCTCTTCCCGGATACGTGTCTCATGTTAAGAAATTCCTTTGGCCTTTTTGGGCTTTTCTGACCAATGTACCCTTTTTCTCCAAATACAGGTGGGGCAATGAAGCAAATCCCCCTTCTCTCACCAAACACAGGTGGGGCAAAGAGACCAATCCTCCAACATCAAATGGGCCTATCGGTCTGGGAACGGACGGCTGTGCCATACTTGAGCTTTCTCAGGTAGATCAAACAAAACAGCTTTACAATGAACAATCCTGAGAGAAGAGACAGAGAAAGGTCACATTTAGAAAATATGTAATTACCGTCTTTACGAACGTGATCAGTCTATACTCCCAATGCACAGTGTGACAGCCGCTCTGTGATCACCTCCTCCCTCAGGTGAGAAAAGGCTTTTTTCCCTTCCTTTAATTGCCGGTTCACATCTACAATTCACACATACCAAATATGTTCACATTAGCTTCACTCATTAAACAATGTTTATCTGAGTGTATCAGATAATCTGTAATCTGTATCTTATACTAAATCATAAAAAAACACCTTTCCATTAGTTTACCCAAAAATGAAAATGTGCATTTTCTGTCTTCTGTGGAGCACAAAATGAGATATTATGTACTGCTCTTAACAGTGGTGAGAACCAGAAAGTTAAAACTAGTCCATGCAACCATTTATTCCATGCTATTCCAAGTCTACTAAAGCCACATACTATTATTATGCCATTTTTAAGTGAGGAAAAGATTGAAATTTAAAGTGATAGTTCACCCAAAAATAGCATTCAGGTTTGCCAACATGAGAGTGAGTAAATTATGACAATATTTAAATTTTTGGGTAAACTATCCATATAACATCAATATGAAGTGACGTTTACAACCTAGTTCTGTAATCAACTGTATTTATTAGCAAATATGGATAATTACCAAGAACATAATGTGGAGTCTGCTGTGGAGCACAAAATGAGATATTATGTACTGCTCTTAACAGTGGTGAGAACCAGAAAGTTAAAACTAGTCCATGCAACCATTTATTCCATGCTATTCCAAGTCTACTAAAGCCACATAATATTATTATGCCATTTTTAAGTGAGGAAAAGATTGAAATTTAAAGTGATAGTTCACCCAAAAATAGCATTCAGGTTTGCCAACATGAGAGTGAGTAAATTATGACAATATTTAAATTTTTGGGTAAACTATCCATATAACATCAATATGAAGTGACGTTTACAACCTAGTTCTGTAATCAACTGTATTTATTAGCAAATATGGATAATTACCAAGAACATAATGTGGAGTCTGAAAAGTAGGTCACACCAGAATGCAGCCAGATTAAAAGGGAAGGTTTGAGAAGTAAAGTTGTTTCAGAAGAATGTTTGATTTAATATAAAGATGATCACAATAAAACCAAGAACACGTATTATAAAAGATTGATTTCATGTTGAATAAGTTGTTAGTCAGTGCAAATGAGTTTTGAGACCTATAACGGAGAACATTTTCAGCATAAATAACTTTTGTCTGTTCTTCACATAAAGCTATTGTACGGGTCTAGAAGACTTGGAATTTAATGAACGAGTTGCATGAACTACTTTTATGGTCCTGCTTTGTCATTTTCAGTGAGTTAGGCGAGTAAATGACAACATCATTTTCATTTTTGGGTGAACTATTCCTTTAACCTTTCCCGATGACATACTTCAAGAGTTTTATAACTTTCACCAAGTGTTAATTCCCATTAAACTCTGACAGGCACTGTTGGGAAGCTGATTGTGAGCCGGCACAGTGGAAATAGCGGGAGCAGCAGTCTTGGCCCTGACATCTGTCCAGCTCCTAAACACTTCTTGCCCTGCTGTGTCCTTCTGTTCACCAGACCGCTGTCCTTCAAGTCTACAGCAGCAAGATCCAAGATGATGACCTCCTAATATCCAGGTAACTGGGTGTGAAACCCTCCTTGAGCAGTCTATTTCTGACTTAATCGAAGATATTATTTAATGTCCTTATCATCTGAAATGATTTGGAGCTGATGGATAAATGAGATACAGGAAGGCCGCAGTAAGGAGTCCACTGAGACTCAGTCTCAAACAAATCTGGAATTAGTGTCAGCCTAACGTGCTGTACCCTGCGCTGAAGAATACGATCATCGCTGCCTCATTATCTCCAATAAGCGTCAATTAGCCGCTCTGTAATGATACTGCTACCACACATGCCAACAAGGCCAATTTAAATAGGGCTATTAAAAGCAAAATTATCTGTGTTTATGATAATAAGATGTGGACTGAATACAATTCAATGCTCTGTTATATAGTTTAAAAAAAAGTTATTAACATAAATGAGAGCTTTGTTATGTCTGAGTTTTACGTTCTAAATTTAAATAATCAGAGCTATGTTAAATAGCCTGAAGGTTGCAGTTAAAATTCACAGGACCAAGGATTATTTTATAATTTTTATGGGTGGATTTACTAGGATCAATAACATTCCTGTTTGTCCACCTGATGATTGTGCACTTATAGGTGTGTTTTTTTAAATAATTATTTCAGCCAAAAATAATACTTCTGTCATGATTTACATGATTTTCTTTCAGTGGAACACCAAAGGAGATGTTTTACTGAAAGATCACACTTTTATTTTCTGTGTACATATACTGTGTGTATGTGAGAGAGACTTGTATAAGAGTAAATAATTTAAATGAAATGCATTTATTTTAGGTCTATATTTATAATTGTTTGTGTGTGTGTGTGAGAGAGAGTGTGTTTGTGTATATATATATATATATATATGTGTGTTTGTGTAAGTATATATATATATATATATACTTAGTAATAGTAATTTGTATTTATTTGCCCTTTGTATGTAGGATATGACCCAGACTAGATTCGAACCCGAGCTAAAAGCTTTTATATGTGCACGATATTATCAGACTGATATTGGAATCGGCCGATAATGGCTTTAAATGTATATATCGGCATCGGCCCGATATGAAAAAATATGCCGATATGTCTTGCTCATAAGAGGAATACCTTAACTCACATGTGCTCAGGGTGTGCTAATGATTAGATCATGTCAGCAGTGTGGCTCATTCTTGAAGCAAAGTTTTGTCTGAATGATGATTAGATTGACTGTTTTGGATCGCTGCATTTAATCTGTGAATGCACATACAGAATGACTGGTTTGGTGTGTGATAGAGTAAACAGTAATAGCACTTGCAGTGGCAGCAGCGGCAGCCTCCCCCGGGTCCTAATGCCCACCCGGTAAGGAGTTTTAATCTGTAAGGGGCGCTGTTGGCCTACTTCTAATTAAAGCTGCAGTCCGTAAGTTTTGCCTCTTTGTTGCCATCTCGGTTTGAAAACCTGGAATTGCAGTTCCTTGCGGAATTATCTTCCTTGTGTGGGTTGTACTCTGGCACGGCTCCAGCGCGGATGAATCTAATGTTTTGAGGAGTATGTGTGGCAGTCAGTCAACGCACTGGTGTGAATCCTATACTTAGTAATCACAGATTCTAGCCTACGTCTTGGAATATATGACCTAAATATAAAATTATTTTTTTGACATTTAATTATTCTAGAAAAGGCTATCGATCTGCCACCTGCAGCATCCTCACATGCGATAGCCTAGTAGCTGGGACAACTTCTTTATGTTTACAGAAGTGACGCAATGCATGCTCGAATTTCCCACGAAAATTACCCGTACAACTCAAATTAGATAACATTATTATAAGATAACCGTTGTGAATCGGGCTAAAGTAAGGTGATAGTTTTGAACAATGGCTGGTTATGTACTTGCTCAAATATTGATTTTGGATAATTTTTAACCAAAAAAAAGTTATGGACTGCAGCTTTAAATAAAAAGTAAAATAGCCTACACAAATAACATTTAGACTGTTTCTGATTAAATAAAGCAGTAATTGATGTCATAAAATAATGAGTATGTTTTGATTTAAAGGTCAGAAGCTATAGCTTACATGAAAAAAAACACAAACATGCAAATTAAATAATTTGATATATACTGATTTATTCATTAATGTGTAATATGTTTTATTTTTAAACAAATCATAAGCTCTAAAAGATTTTCTGAATTTTTACAACTCTTTTGCTTTAGATCATCTACAAATGTTAAATCTTAAAATCAAATGTTAGGGTTAGCACTGCATCTTTCTGGGAAAGAATGCAGCGATTGATATATAATTTATTTAGGCTATAGTTATTTTCAAAGCTTCAATGTACTGTCAAAAAAACCTTCATTGTTGTTTATTTAATTCTAACAAATAAGTTCTTGTTAAAAACTAACCAAAATGAAAAATATTTTGCTTATAATTTCTGCACAGGAGAGACTTGTTGTTTCCAAACAAAAGGAAATATATCGGTATCGCCCAAAATGAGTTGAAAAATATCTGCATATCGAATATCGGCAAAAATCCAATATCGTGCATCCCTATCATGAGCATTGGCATAAGCCACTATGCCGCAGCTTTGCCCCATTTATGTTTAATGGAGGAGAGTAATTAATAAGCACTTGGAACGAGAGGAGTGCGAGTAAACTCTACCTTTAATTATAAATAAAAAAACAATTCAGGATTCTGTCATATTAGTTTTCTGGTCTGTTTTTTTGCTTAGTGCTTTGGCTTTCTTTGTGTCCATATGGATGATTTTTTTTAACATCTGCCTTGTTTGTGCAAAAGTCACATCAAATATTAGAAACATAAGACACATAAAAAGTACTTCACTTAATCACTTTACATCCATCCAAATATACGTAAAGAGTTTATGCTAATATTCTCATGACAGCTGGGAGAATGAAGGACAGGCTTCTTATTTACATCAGATCCTCTTAATTAAAGACCGTCATAATCAGACTCATGAGCTTCAAATGGTATGCGCTGGTATCAAAGGACTCCTTTATTTCTTTCTCTAGTGTGTGTGCTGTATTGCACTCATCACACAGTTTTAGGGCGAAAGGACGCGCTACTGTCATTGAGACTTTAGTAAACAGACATACTAATTGACTTACCTCAGCTTCACGGCTTCACTGCTATGAGTTGCTTTCTGGTTTATACAAAAATTATATATGATGATACCATATTGTGATATATGATTGATTACTTTGTCTAAACAAGCTAGTTCAGGCATTTTCAACCTTTTTAGGAGATCCTTTCATGTACAGGGCCTCTCTTTACATAAAATAATCCTAAACAAAGGTGGAAGATGTTACTAACTGTATGCAACTGAGTGTTCAATTTCAAGTTTCTGAGTTTTGTGCCATGTTAATATGTTTACATATATTTGCATACTTTGCAAAGCCATTAAAATGATTAATGTACAGATTACAGTACAATTGTACTTAATACATTTTAATATGGAAGGGACAATGAAACATTTAGCTGAACTTTAGCTTTGGTTCAAGTTGACTTAATGTTTTATTTTTGTTTAATGCATATTTTTATCTTTTTCATAGAATTAGTTTCAGATCAAACAATAATTGGCAGACCCCCTGCAGTACCACTGCGGACCCCCTGTCGAAGACCCCAAAGGTAGAATTTTTATGTTCTAGTTTATGAGCTGACTTATACAGAGTTGTGTGTCAAAAATATACTTATGATTTTTGCCTGCAGATCATAAAACGGACAAAAGAATCCCATTAAGGCAGAGAATTCAAGCCTTTAGAGACCAGAGACTTGGTAGTGAACACTTTTGATTTGGATATGTACAGTAAGTACCCACCTAGCAATCACATCTTAGTATTGTGTCAAACATTTAGAAAACGTTTAAATCAGGTTTGGTTCTGAAATTGCTATTCAAAAGAATAGAGCAAACTATTGCTGTATTTGTTTGTTAAATTCTCTGCAGTGATCCCTGTCATTTGACAAAATGTTGTGTTTTTGGATTTGTGCACATATAGGTCTGCCAGGAAGAAAAATCATTAGTAAAATCATTGAATCATTACTCGCTGGCCTTAAAATGTTGTTTCTCCAGCTATTTTGACAGTAACTCCAGAACTCTGGAATGATTAGCTGTCACAGTGTGTTCAGTAATGATATTCGTTGTGGTGCACCCTACATACTAATAATGCCAATAGTCTCATTGTGTTTAACGTGCCGTCCTGCATCCAATTTCCTACCAACAAAATCCTGTCATTGAGTATAAGACCAATCTTCAAACCAATCAGCTATTAGTATATCCCTCCAGGCTCGTTTGCATATTTATTGCCCAATCAAAGCAGCTCCTGTCATGTCTCAAACATACTGTATGTTTGCCTGGCCGCACTCAAAGAATTCCCCGGCTATTTTAAATGATAGCTTTTTAAAGGGTTATGAAGAGGTCACAAATGAACTTTTAGCAATGTAAATAATCATTTGCATCTTGGAAAGCTTCAGAAAAGTAAATATATTCGATTCTGAAGGCTTATCTGCTGTGGATGTGTATGTAGGCTAAATGGTTCTCGGGCAGTATGAATGCACTGTATCCTTCCTGATAACAAGCTTAAAAATGAATCAAGTCATTTGCATTCATTGCAATATTTGCCACTGCAACATATTTAAGTGGTTGCACTTGCATATCGACACTAAATGCAATAATGAGGCAGATTTGCTAGAGAAGAATATGCAGTGTGTGTTTGCCTGATATGACGTGTCTGTTTAACTCAACGGACGCAGTGGGTGAGAGATTGTGAGGAGCCTGATAAGTCATTTATGATGCCAACTACATTCATCTCAAGGGTACAGGCACTAGTAGAGTTAGACTGATGTGCGAGACTCCTGTGTTGCATGTCACTTAGATTTTTTGCTGAAAGGAAGGTGGCTCACACAAAAAGCCGTTTCCTTCCCTCTGAGTGCAGCAGTGCAGAAACGGTGCGTGTCTCTGCTGCTGAATGTTTGAATGCAGAAATGCCATTTAAAGGAACAGTACACACACACACACACACACACACACACACACACACACATATATATATATATATATATATGATCAAATAAATGCAGCCTTGCTGAGCATAAGATAATTTTTGAATATTTTACGGACCCAGTCTTTTGAATGGTACTGTATACGAACAAGTTAAACAAAGGTTGATAACCAGAAAATGTCCATAACGTTTTGTAGTGAGTTTTAACAATATATTTATTACTTCATATTTTAAAATATGTATTTATTTATTATTTTATTTATTATAAAATATTTATTATTTTGTGAAATGTTTTGCTTGAAATTATTGTATTGATTTAAAATGCCACATGTTTTGATATTTTGTTATGTAATGCAAAGACATTTTAAATTATAGCTTATGTGTCCAAATACCCTTCAGGACCTCTGTATATGTGTATGTTTTTTTTGTATATTTTGAATAGACTCATATAGCACATTAGTCATGTGTTATGTGTAACATTAGGCTTTTGTTGAGCCTGAAACATTCATCTTCCATTCATTGTTATTGCATGAAAAAGAAAAAAAAAAACAGATTATTATTTAAAATTTCTCCTTTTGTGTTCCACAAAAAAGTGTCTATACAGGTTTGAAATGACATTAGGGTGCGTAAATGATGACACAGTTTCCTTTTTTGAATGAATTGTTCGTTTATCTGTGAGACAGTATTTCCTGTGTGAATCATTCAGTTGCATCAGTGATATTATGGCAAGAAATTCTGTCATAAATCTTACCAACACCTGAGCTATATATAAATGTGGCAACAACCCAAAGAAAGTGTGGTTATTAGATTAATAAACACATTCGTGACAGTCAGATGCTGGTAAGAGATTCTGGAAGAATCCGTAAATAACTGATGGTGATAATGAACGTGCAGAAGGAAACAGTAAACACTGCTAAAAATGCCTAATGTCAGTATCACACTGCTGACTTTTTATCAGGGAAAGGGGGGGGGGGGGCATGGGTGGAGGTATGGATGGGTTTGGTATGAAAATTATGTCATTATTACAGGAAGATCAGCTCATATGCAAAATAACGCCACCACAGATTTCTTCAGTTTTAAATTAAAGCACTGTTCTGGGTTCTGAGTTTGTAAAAAAACAGCACAAATTCAGTGTACAGTAATGCACTTGCAGCAGAAATGATGCAAGTAATAGTGGTGATAGTAGTTGCATGATAGAAACAATTCAGTTCACTTACACTAATCAGCTGTAATCATGAGAAGTGTTTGTCTTGATCCTGATTCACAGTCTCTGCAGTTTTTTTATTTAATTTGATTATTTAATTGCCTAATTTAGCCATTTCACTTAAAGAAAAATGGCAGGTAAGAATGCTTTGTGATTTTACATTTTATTCCAGCCCTAGTGAGAATACTATTTAATAATTTTTTTTTAACCACATTTTAAGCAAATTGTATTAAAAATCATGCTGTTCACAGAAATCTCCCATATATATATATATATATATATATATATATGTATATATGTTTTTAAAGAAATCTCTTATGCTCACCAAGGCTGCATTTATTTGATCAAAATTACAGCATAAACAGTAATATTGTGAAATATTATTATACATTTTCAATAGCTTTTTTCTATTTGACTATATTTTATGTTATTGTTATTTATTATTATTATTATACATGTAATTTATTCCTGTGATGCAAAGCTGAATTTTCAGCATCATTAATCCAGTCTTCAGTGTCACATGATCTTCAGAAATCATTCTAATATGCTGATTTGCTGCTCAAGAAACATTTCTGATCATTATTATATTGCAAACCGTTGTGCTGCTTAAGAGTTGTGCAAAAGAACGTAAATATAAATGACCTGACTGTCAATTTAACAATTTAATACATCCTTGTTGAATAAATGTCTTAATTTCTTTCTTTCAAAAAATGGTTGCATGTTTAAATTGTGCCTCCAGTTTGATGTTGCTGGCCCAGTCTAGCCACCAACATCAAACTGGGGAGGGTAAGTTTACTACTGTTTTGATTGTTGGACGAGTAGATAAGTTCGCCTCAGTCGTAACATAGATGTAAAGGGGCACTTGAGTGAATGCGCGTGCAGCACTTAAGAGGCAATTATCCATCAATGTGCCCTGGTCCCCATTCGAGCATGGTGCTCATCCTTTTTTAATGCTGTTGAATGGAGCACGCAGTCTCCATCGCAGCAGGGGGCTTCTGGGCAAGTCACGGAAGCCCTGGCTCTGAGCAGAAAGGCTGTGCTCTGGTGTCTCACGCCACTCGCATGTACACACACACAAACACACACACACACACACACACACACACACTGCTCTTGCTCTAGTTCTCCTAGACAGACTCATTTCCCCAGTATAAGTACTTATAAGTGTACCGTAGTGATTCGGAATAAGACAAAAACGCGGTTTGGAAGATTAATTCATGATGTACTCGCTCATTATATACATTTAGCAAATTTTGAACACAGAAAAAGTTACATAGTGCTGCTTTAATACCCCACCTTAACTATTTTCCTTGTTAAATATCATGTTTGATTTGGAAATACAATAAATCACAAGGTTAAATAGCATGTCATGTTGAATAAGTTGAAGTGTCAACTTTGTTTAGATGTAACACTTTAGAGTAGGAAGTTAGGAACCAATTCTCACTATTAACTAGTTGCTTATTAGCATGCATATTACTAGCATATTGGCTGTTTATTAGTAATTATAAAGCACATATTCTGCATGACCTTAATCCACCCCATACCTAAACTTAACAACTGCTTACTAACTATAAATAAGCAGTAATTAGGAGTTTATTAAGGCAAATCTTACACATTTTGTTCATCATGATAATCTTGGCATATGAACGTAACTTTTTTTTTTAATTTTGAAGCCTAAATACAATCACCAGAAGTAAAAAGCTAAACCTAGCCTATAAACAAACTACATCACGATCACATGACTCCAGCATCACCACCATTTAGCTTCGGACAACTCTTTCAGTCTTTATTTCCCTGAAAGTTTGAGTTGGAATAGTTTGCACACACAATGAGGCTGTAAAAGCAGATTGAATGATGAGTTTATCTTTTCGGCTAATGACGTTTGTCCCCAACAACCTCTGTAGTCCCATTTAGCAACTTATTAGCAACCGCCTTTTCCAAGACAAGTACAAGCTTTAAAAAAAGTATCACAAGGGTTTTACTGATGCATTTTATAAAACGTGAAAATATTATGAGCTTGTGTTAACACCTTATTTAACCAAAAACCCCATTTGAAAATGGGAAATGCTAAAATGCTAACTTGCTTTCAGCTTTTGGCCTAAAATATGTGTCATCCCTAAAGCACTCAATTGAGAGCTATGATGTTTGGTTGCAAACTTTGATAAATTGATGTGAGATATCATTGAGGTCTCATCTGAAACTCTAGAGGGGATTTTTAAGAGGGTCTATTTTGAAAAGCAATAGACTCCATTCAGTCTCATTGCTGTTAAGTAGAAACAATTGAGATATTCAAGAGTTGTCATTTGTGACTTTTCTTGCCGACAGACGTCTTTCTCTTGCACTCTCACATGCAACAATGTCTTGTGGGATCTGTCCTCAACAGTCGCTCTCTTCCTGTTTACCCACAACTAGCCTTAATCCTTTTAAATGTCCTTGTACGCTCTATTGTGTGAGAGCAGAATTAGTGGCTATTTAACAATGCATCATCTCAGACACACATTGCCATTATGTGTCCTGATTACATTGGGGGTGGCAGTCTCGTTCCAGACTTATTTAAAGCTGATTATCACTAGAGAGTC